GCCTATTTGTTTGAGATAATATAGCAGGGTGGTTCTTGTTGCATGATATTCAAAAGTGTGATGATGATGATGATGCAACCCTGAAGATTTCTGGGTGATAGTAGTTTTCTGAATCCTTGTCAACTTGGTCTTTCATTAAGAAGTCATCCAAGTCATCTATAGGTAGTCGACTTACCACAGTTTGTTTAATAATGACTGTTTGAAGTTACAACAGCACTGAAAAAAATAACTTACGACCCGTTTTCCACACTTATGACCATTGCAGCATCCCCATGGTCACGTGATCGTAATTCAGATGCTTGGCAACTAACTCATATTTATGACGGTTGCAATGTCCTGGAGTCATGTGATCCCTTTTTGTGACCTGGCAGGCTAAAGTCAGTGGAGAAGCCAGATTCATTTAACAAACATGTTACTAACTTAACAACTGCAGTGATTCACTTAACAACGGTGGCAGGAAAGATTGTGAAATGTTGGCAAAACTCACTTAACAACTGTCTCACTTAGCGACAGAAATTTTGGGCTCACTTGTGTCTTAAGTCAAGGACTACCTGTAATCGTTGAGTTTACAGAGCACTAAATAAAAAGCATTATATTCTTTAGCTTCATAGTAGCTTCTACTATGTAGTTAGCTTCTCTGTTGTATTCAGTTCAAAGCTAAGTGAAGAGCTAACTCTCTGGAAAAGGCTCTGAAGGTGAGAAAGATGAAAGGAAAGAGAAAAGGATGACCAGCAACAAGGGACTCAGTTACAGTAACAATGAATATGGTGGTGGAAGATCTGAAAGACCAAGTCAGGGATAGAGAAAATCGATGTAGTTGCTAAGAGTCAACAATCATGGGATGGCACATTATCAGTTAGAAGACAAAGATTTTGATTATTCCAATAGGAGAGAATATTTGTAGCTCAGGGCTAAACTGTGGAGTCCTTGGTGCTCTCTGAGCTTGGTTCTTTGCTTGCAGAAGTATCATTACCCAACTAGGTAACTTTCCTGGTTGGATAATGAAATGTCTGCAAGCAAACAACCAAGCTCAGAGAGCACCAAGGACCCCACTTTGTTTATTGACAAATCAGATTTGTTTTGGAGTTGTAGTTTTAAAATACAAAGCATGGAATCGCAATCAGGAAATAAAATATGTGCCAGAACTGAAAATCAGGGTCCATGCCATGAATTTATTTTTAGATGCTGTTTTATGTAATTAGCTCTGTTTTTGCTTCACAACCATATGTTCTTTTTCCTCAAGTTTAAAACTGTATAGCTTTGATTATATATAAATATGCAGACATGTATAGATATGGATGCAGATATATAGGTTTCTATTGCTTTGACAACAAGGCACCTCCTAGAATAAATGTCACTGTTTCCAGACATAGCTTAGCACTCATCTTATAAAAAATATATTTTGGCTGGTTACCAATTGGGTTTCAGTCTGTCTGTACATATGTACAAAGTGCTTGCGTATCTCCAGAACTCCAGCTGAATAGGATCATTAAGTGATCAGTGGAACATTTCTAAGGTGCAGGACCCACCCTCACCTTCCTGTCCCTTGTCTGCCCTCTCCAAAGACCTGAAACCACTGCTTCAGGGCACAGTTTCAGTCTCCTTTCTCTCCTTTCCCTCACACAAACACAAAAGCAGGTGAATTTTCAGCAGATCCCCAGAAGGCTGGGATTCTCAAGAGTCAGCATATGTTTGTTGTTGTTGTTAATTGCGAAGTCGTGTCTGACCCATCGCGACCCCATGGACAACGTTCTTTGCCTTTTAGTACTGTCCATGGCAGTGGTTCTCAACTTGTGGGTCGGGACCCCATTTGGGGTCGAACGACCATTTCACGGGGGTCGCCAAACAAGGCTGTCCGCCATTTTTTCCCCTTTTCTTTGGCCACGCCCCTGGCACCCGGTGATGTATAAGTGGTTGGGGGTCACTACAAAATGGGGAACTGTATTATGGGGTCGCGGCATTAGAAAGGTTGAGAACCATTGGTCCATGGGGTTTTCATGGCAAAGATACTGGAGTGGTTTGCCATTTCCTTCTCCAGTGGATCACATTTTGTCAGAACTCTGCTATGATCTGTCCGTCTTGGGTGGCCCTGCACGGCATAGCTTATAGCTTCATTGACTTACACAAGCCCCTTCGCCACGACAAGGCAGTAATCCATAAAGAGGCAGCATATGTTGGTTGTCACAAAAGACCATCACACTATTACTTGGCTGCGTTGTTTTATTTTTAGACCTACTTGGGAGGTATTTGCTGCATGTTCTGTTTCATATGCCAAGTACAATTGCCTTTCCTTGGCAATGATGTACGTAAATGAGTAGATAAGGAGTGTTGTTTATTGCCACATCTTGTGTGTTCTGTGCCCTATGCCCTATTCCAAGTTGCCAGGTAGATGCATTCTGTCTTCCTCCAAGGCTGTTTGCTTGATAAATTTAATTCTTTCATCCTTCATTCCTTCATCCTAATTTTTAAGTGTAATTCAGTATATCCTCTGAGAAGATATTTGTTGCATGCATGTCATGATCTCTCTTGGGTGGGGCTTGATATTACTGTACTGTACATTATTGATAGTAACCAGAAAACCCACAGAAAGCTGTGAAGACAAAGGGAGAAGAGTCAAAGGTTTCTGAGAATCTTTATAGAGATTTCTCCTCCTGCTTTTTGAAATGCCAGTTTCCTTAGGCCAGTGGTGGTGAACCTATGGCATGGGTGCCAGAGGCGGCACTCAGAGCCCTCTCTGTGAGCATGTACGCCCCAGTCCTAAGCCTTCAGCTGGGTTTTATAAAACCTTTTCGCTTTAGGCCAATGCAACCATGTGCAAAAAAAAAAAGTTAAATCAATCAGTCAATTTCAACTTCTCGCAGAAAAAAAAAAATCTTGTAAAGTTGGAATTGATTGATTGATTGAACTTTTTAGTCCCACCCAGTCTGCCGTTACCACCGCAGCCACGCCCACCCAATGGGCCATGCCCACCCAATGGGCCACACCCACCCGGCACCTGACAAGGCATAAGTGGGTTTTGGGTTGCAGTTTGGGCACTCGGTCTCTAAAAGATTTGCCATCACTGCCTTAGGCAATGGCCGCCTTTAAGTAATGTTCTGAACCTTCTTTATGAAAGCTTAACTATGGTGAGATATGATATCAGCATCATCTACAGCAGGGCTTTTCAATCTTTTCACCCATTGTACCACTTTTAGGATATGGCAACATCCAAGTACTATCAGTCGCCTAGCAAGGTGTCAAAAACTTGACCCCCCCAAAAAAGAAAAAAAGTGATAAAGTACAGGTAGTCCTCGACTTACAACAGTTCCCTTAGTGACTGTTCAAAGTTACAATGGCCCTGAAAAAAAGTGCCCCCCAAGCTACAGCTGAGCAAGACAACTGCCTGCCCACCCGGCGGCGCTCTTCCTCCTATCCGAGGTTTTCATTGTTGTGAACATTTCTGTTGAGTATTGGCAGTGGGGGTGGTGTGGGGGGTGTTTGGTTTTTATTCCCCCCATCTGCTGGGTGGTTGCAGTAGGTTTTGGTCACTTCACATGATCCTGGGACACTGTGACCATCATAAATATGAATCAGTTGCCAAGCATCTGAATGTAAATCACAAGATCCTGGAGATGCTGCAACATTCTAGCTGATCGGTGCTTCTTCAGGGCTTAGCAGAAGCACCAGGATCAGCGCCGGGCTCCAGCTGGAGCCAGGCGCTGATCCTGGCGCTTCCCCTGAGCCCTGACAGCCCCGAAGAAGCTCTGATCAGTTGGAAAGTGGCTTTGATCCTGGTGGTTTCGCTGAGCCCTGACAGCCCTGCAGCTCCAGCCATCTCTCGCTCAGGCTTGTGCGGTGCTGCCATCGGTTCAGCTCATTCCCCTCCCCCGCTACCACTTTTCCAGGATGTTCGCGTACCACCTGCCAGGTGCCAAAAGCCCTGATCTACAGTACGTTTTGCAAATGATGACAAGCTAGGATTAGAATCTACGGGTGGATTCACATATATTGAACCATTGTCTGTCCAATTATTATTGAATAAGTCTTAATGCACATAAGCCTCTGTGCCTAAAACAAGAAAATTATACATTATGGCTCAGTATGAATCAAGCTTGGGTTTTGATGGTGGTTTTTACAATGGATGTCCAGTTACATATATTGTATTCACACATCGTATGACGGGGTCAGGTTTGGCGTATGGAGGCTTAGAGTATTGTTTGAACATAGACAATTGTGACATGATTAAACCTTAAAATGAATTTTTAGACATTAGGTCTAATATGATGTTGCGTTTTGCTTTTTCATCCGGAAAACTAAAAGAATTTATACGATATATCCCTGCCTGTTTATATTTTACTGATACTGAATTCTACACTTTTTGATGGAAAATTGAAGCGAAGGAATCTAGCAAGCATAGATACCTCTTCTAAGTGACTTTGCTTACATGTCATATTATACCATGGAGTGATTAAGGACAGCTTGTTGAGTAAACCTCAATTGACCATGAGTTCAAGTCCTGCATTAGCCATGAAAGATGGCTGGGTGACTTTGGGCCAGTCATTCTCTCTCAGCCCAACCCATCTCCCGGGGTTATTGTTTTGGGGAAAGTAGGAGGAGGAAGGTTTGTTGGAAATGTCTTGAGTTATTTGTAAAAATAATAAAGGCAGGATACAAATAAACAAATAAAAATAAATCAGGTTTTCACCTATATTAAATTTGAAACAGTGGTTTGCTACCCTTGTGCTCAGCCAAAACCAAACAAAGCACATTTTGGCTTCACACGGTGTCTGCCTAATTTAACCTTAAAACATAAGCTCAGCAGAGTATACACAAATGCTGAACAGTTTGCATTTTCATGGAACGCTAATGCTCTATACTTGGATCAAGGGAGAAATGGATCCTGCAAAATGTCCACGAAATTGAAGAACCAAACTATTATTTTTTTATTTTTGGACGAAATGATTCAGAACGTTTGCATGCGTGTGACTTAATAAAAACGGTCTTTTTCCTCTTCTCCACAGACGACGAGACTGACTATGAATGTGTGTGTGAAGGCATGTCATGTGTGAACGGAGTCCGCTGCAGAGGGCATAGGTGCTTCTCCTCCTTGAGCATCAATAATGGAGAAAGGGTTTATCAGAAGGGCTGCTTCAAAGTTTATGAGCAAGGGAAGATGACGTGCCGAACGCCTCCATCTTCAGATCAAGCAGTGGAATGCTGTCAAGGGGATCTGTGCAACATTAACATAACAGCAGAGCTGCCAGTGAAAGGTAAAACTTCTTGATTATGTTTTTAAGGGCGCCTCAAAGAGGGAGACCCTTTTACTGTTTAGTCTTTCCTTGTTTGTTCAACAGCCTTCACAGGAGATCCTAGATCTGCATGCTTGCTCAGGTAGTGAGTTTGGGCAGTGCTCCTGCTTTCTGCCCCCTACCAGCCTGATAAGGAAAAAAAAAATTGCTGTAAATTGCTTGTGAATTCATGAGTGAGGGATCACAGCTCACAGTTGGGGAACCCTGATTTACATATATCAGTGAATAATGATGAGTTACAAATTTAGAACACAGTCACATGTGTCTGAGAGCAATAAACAACTGGAACATAAAAATGGTATCTTCCTCTACCACATTTTTTAACTACTGTTAGTTTGTCGCTTAAAAAAACAAAACAAATGTACAAGCCACTGTTTCTACCAGCAGAAGAAAAGTTTCCCACCTTTTGAGTAGAGCAAAAGACACAAGTGTCCAAGCAGGAAACTGGTGATCAGCATAACTTGACAAGCAAGACTTGATCTTACTAAGGGATGTTTTTACAGACTCCCAAGATGAATGGAATATCTGGAGAGAATGACTTTGTACTTTTTGCTTGCTTGCTTTTTCTCACTGATAGCACCGTAACTCCTTATTGCACCGGGTTTGCCATGCTGCATGTGAATTTGAGTATCCATGAGAAATTTTTGTACACCACTTTTTGCCCCCTGTTGCCAAAACCCTGGGTATCCTTTTCCAGAGAGCGGCAGGAGAAAAAGTACGTGGTTTGATCTTCTTTCTGAGTACTCTTCTGTTGCAAAGGGAAACACTTTCTTCTTTTTAGTCTTGCTCTTCAGCCATCTTTCTCAAAGCCATTTGCATCTAGCTTTTGCTAATTGTATTTTTTGTTGTCTCTCTTTGTGAAGGGCATCCATCGCAAGGGGAAGCCATGGGTCACACCATGGAAATGCTTGTCATTTTCATACTGGCTCCCACTATGGTGCTGATCGTATTTTCGGCAGCCGCAGTGCTGATCATCAGAAAGATTCGGCAGCGCCATATGGAAAGGCTGAACTCCAGGGACGCAGAATATGGCACAATTGAAGGGCTCATAGCCTCGAACGTTGGTGATAGCACATTGGCAGTGAGTAATCCTTGTCTTATGATCTGTTGCTAAGCATTTAATAGCACTCCCATGTTTTTCTTTCTAATCAGATTGCCCAAAATGTGGTGTGTAAAATATGGAGCACTGCCTAGTCCCCTTTCATACTTTCTGTACAGAACAGTGCCAGAACAAACCTTAGTAAAGCAGTCAGGGATGTGGTACGTAGGGAGATTTGGGGAAAACTGAAACACATTTAGGTGAAAGAATCGTTAAGTAGTTTTGCTCAAGCCTAACATCAAGGGCAGTTCCAAGAGTTAAGTTGGCACTGCCCTGAATGACTTAGAAGAAAAACAGGTTCTTACTTAGTAACCCAATTTTCCAAGTATATCCAGTCTTCATGTAGTGAGAACCTCAGTTAGCAATCATTTGTAAATACCATGGTAATAAAAGATTCATTTTCTGACCAATGTGCACATTTACAGCCAAAATGTACGTGCTTGACAGCAACACACATCAGAGTAGGGGTAATGCTAGTGTAGCTGTATGAGAGAAGTTTATCTGAACGAGACAGCAGCAACCAATGATCTTCACAGCATATCTCTCTCTCTCTCTCTCTCTCTCTCTCTCTCTCTCTCTCTCTCTCTCTCTCTCTCTCTCTCTCTCTCGTTCACTTGTTCATTTAGTGACCATTTTGCTTAATGACCTGGTCACTAAACGAGGAGTGAGTGTGCATACAGTTAAAAGCTGCATGTGAGAAATAATGCAGCTTTCATTGATCGGGATCACACAATTCCCTAAATCTGGGTTAAGGGTATACAGCCCTGTTTTAAAATAAATAAATAAATAAAATTATAGTGTGATCACATAAATTCATATAGGATGCAGAGGCAAAGTTTCAGTTTTCCCAGCACACCATCAAATCCAACTGAGTCCAGCTATTGTGTTAGCCAAATCCAGCCTGCGTATGGGGATGCAGCAAGGATACTATTGTAAAATAATAATGATGATGATGATGTCATTAGGACCAATAGGCTATGAAAACGATGTTATCTGTTTCTTTTGATCCTTTTATGGTTGCCCTTGGAGCACCCTCTAGGAATTAGGAAGAATCTGGATTAGCATATTGTTGATACAGTCTGGGTACAACCTAGAGTGCAGTCGAAAAGCACTTAGGTTTTTGCACGCTCACTTTAGGTATACAACCTTTTGATCAATAAACCTGTGTACTGGCTGTGGGAACGACACCTGTGACATGCCAGGTAGATTTTTCCCTATAGGAGGATTTTTGCTCTTTTTTTATTGGCAGTGGGCAGGAGTAAAAATGTTTGGAGCTCCCTGGAAAACCTCCAGCATGTTACTTAAAAGCATACTTCAAAGCCAGGGCCACTTGGACACAAGAGTGGCTAAAACTAACACTGCACGTTTGGTTATAAACTGGAAAAGAGATCTTTCCAGATTTCAATGAAATGCCTTTTCTGGATTTTGTCTTAATGTTTCTTATATTGCAAGGGGTGAGGACTATGTGAGAAATCTCCAGATTATGTCAACCCCAACTATAATCAGAGGTGGGCATTTGGCAATAGCTGAACACTTTCAAGGTAGTCATCCATTGCAACTGTTATTTAAAACCTGTTATATTCTTGAGAGTTGTCTTGGTTTTTTGACTACTGAAAGGAATTGCGGATGAAGGAAAATAAGACGTCTGTGAAGGGGTCCTAGGTATCTTACTTCGAGATAAACAAGCTATAATCCTCATGAAAGGCCTATTGTAGAAAAGGTCATCGCTGACCTTCACCAATGACTGGAAACCTCTTACGGACTTTGCGTGAGGAAGAAAATGACTTTGTGGTTTATATTTCTGATGATTAGAAAGAATAGGTTATAGAAAAAGGGGAATTATAATGAAAGCCTGGTTTACTTAGAAATATATATTTATAATTGCTGACTGGAACATTGGAACCCATCTCTCTCTCTCTCTCTCTCTCTCTCACTCTCTCACTCTCTCTCTCTCTCACTCTCTCACTCTCTCTCTCTCACACACACACACACTCACACCCACTGAATTTCTGTGTTTTTAATTCTTTTTTCCATCTTTTTTTTATTTTCTTTTTTCACACTTACCTTGCTATATTTTTCTTTGAATGTATTTCTTATTATCTACTTAAACTCTATTAATAAAATTATTTTCAAAAATGAAAGGGCCACAATGATATGGCATCATGACCCCCCAGGTGTCCACAGATCACAGGTTGAGAACCACTGACTTAAAGGATGGGAACTAGCTTGGAGCGTAGCATTGGGCCCTAAGGGTTTGTGAACTTCATGAAAAGCCTCTAACGATAATGTTTTTTACCATAGATTTTTTTTTCCTTGTAGAGGCAGCTTTCCTGTTGTAGTAACTTTATGTGATCATAGTTGGCTGTTATTAGCAGCAAACAGGTAGTGTTTCCATGGTTACTGTAAGGTATCTCAGAAGCGTCCTTAAGAGACTAGGCTGCACAGTCACATCCCTGTGGGGCAGGGTATATTCTGTTTAATGAGGTCCAGGGAGCCATAATGACTGTCTAGCGAAAGAGGAACTGAATATTTGAATCCTTCCTATTCTTATCAGATTTCTGCTCCAGCATGCTTTGCTTTCCCACATCATAGTTAACCCCATGGATATCCTTCCTTTCTGAGAAGGCGGCAGTGTATATATATGGAAGAAGGGAAAGGAGTGAAAGAAAACATACAGATGGCACCTAGCAGGTGTAGGAGAAGCATGGCTGAAAGAAAATTTCTACAAAATCTATTGTTCTGGTAATGGAACAGTCTAGAGAATTCTGGAATGTTCCATGTGTCCCTGGTCAATCTGGCCAACAATCCATTTCAGGGGTGGTCTGGCAACTTCCGCAAGTTAAAAGGGAGAAAGGGTGAACATTATAAATGCTTTTGACTCCGAAGCTTTCAGAAAATGGCCAACTGACTCCATAACAGATTTGTATGTCCAGAACAGGCTTTGCACATAGTATCTCTCCACATACAACTTGTGAAGAGGAATTCCGTTTGAAGAGAATAGAGAAATTTTGGAGACAGTAATATGGCCCAAGTAGTATAGTATAAGGAAATTGCATTTGACGGGAAGCAGCTGTGGAAGAGGAATACAAGTAGTCCTCAACATAGGACTACAATGGGGGGGGCAGAATTTCCATTGTTAAGCAGGGTAGTTGTTAAGTGAGTCGTGGCCAGTTTTATGACCTTTTTTTGGCCTGGTGGGTAAACAAATCATTGCCGTTGTTGTGTGAATCATGTCGTTAAATGAAATCAGCTACTCCTGTTGACTTCGCTTGGTAGAAAAAGACTGGTTGGGAAGGTCACAAAATGCAACCATGTGGCCCCCGGATGCTGTACCCATCATAAATACATGCCAGTTGCCAAGCATCCAAATTTTGATCAATGCCGTTGTAACTTCGAACGGTCTCTAAACCAGGGGTATCAAACTGCCAGTCCGCGGGCCGGATGCGTCATGGCGAAACTGCGCCCACCCCATTGCCAGCAATGGCAAAAAAAGTCATGATACGTTGCAACACATCACATGACGCTGCGAGTTTGACACCCCTGCGCTAAACAAACGGTTTTCCATGATTGAACCAAATGAGCCTGGGCAAAAAATTCTCCCTGGGTTTCCTTGACGGGTCCATTTGGCAACCAGCTGTGCAATTGAAGTTCTAAGGTTGTATGATGGTTGCTGTTAGCTTCCTTCAGCTTTTAGTTTTATATATTTTATAAAATTAAGAGAATTGACTTCATTTTTGAGTTCAAGCCTCCAAGGCAGCTAAAGCGAATTCTGAGAATCCCTGATTTCCATGAAATTACTTCGGCAAGGTTTGGTCTCTCTCCACAAAACAAAGCCAAGTATGTAGGATGGCTAAACAAACTTTATTAATTTATCATTCCTCCGAGATCTTAAGGTTGCATACATTTTATCCTCAAAACTCTCCTAAATAGAGTATGGGCAGAAAGATATTGACTGATCCAAATCACCCAGATATTTTCAGCAATGGAGAGTTGAACTACCCTTTTAGGCCAGTATATTAATTTCTCATCTGGCTTTAGACCAGGGGTCTTCAAACTCGGCCCCTTTTATGACTCATGGGCTTCAACTCCCAGAATTCCTCAGTCAGGCATGCTGACTGAGGAATTCTGGGAGTTGAAGTCCATGAGCCATAAAAGGGCCGAGTTTGAAGACCCCTGCTTTAGACCATCTTAATATAACATAGATTAATTTGGTCAGATACTCAGTTTGTTGAGTTCCAGTTAGAGTTTTTATTAGGGTTTAGGTTAATATTTGCCTCCATCAACCTTTGGCCCATTTCTCTCAAAAATTGTGAGCTTGTTTTGAGAGTTATAGTGCATGCATGCTCCAGTTTGGGAGACAGTTCTTGTATATTCCTTGATCTGTGCCATTCTTTCTCCCCCTTCCTGCTTTGCTTTCAAATAAATTGCTTTGCTGCCCCCTTGTGACCATGTCAATATGACTTAAAATAACATGATTTATGACATAAGGTTGAGTCAATACTTTCTCTAGTCTGACCTGACAATTTTTTTCAAATAAACATCTTTTATCAAAATGCTAAACTCAGAATGTTTTCTGAGCTATCACATCTGGTCTTCTGAGATTTGTAACAGCTTTTATGCACGGTACATTAATAGTTAGGTTTGGACAGCTTTAAACAAATCTAATGAAAAGAATGAAATCCAGGAATAACATTCCTTTCAGGGCTCCCGAATGGATATTTCTTCAGGAACAAAATTACTGGGCAAGACACAATATTCATTGAAATTCATTGCATCTCTTCTGTCTGGCAGACCTCCTAAATCGAAATCTGACAACTAGGTGGTTATTAAAGCAAGCCTTTTTTTATATGTCTTAAATGAATGGGAATGTTAAATTACCATATGTATTGGAGGATATAGCAAGATTGTTCATTGGACTTTGCGATGAGGGTCTTAATTTATTTTCTAGTAAAGGATAATTGTATAAAACACATTTAGATTGGTATGAAGAGTTGTGTACAACCTCAGAACACAAAATACAAAAAGAATACAAAGGCATGGCAAAATACCTAGTAGCATTGGGGGGGGGGAGCACACAAGTGAAAGTGAAATAGCACAGTAATTGGGAGTGGGTGGGTATTGAGTTAAATGAGAATATTTGGCAGGTTGATTTTACCGGTTGAACAAAATGGCAATCTCAACAAAACATTTGAAGGCTTTGCAAAACTTGTTTTTGAGACATTTAAAATGGAATAACATGAAGAATTTAGTAACATATTTATGCTGAAGATGCGTGGGTTCGAGGGCAGACAATTTTCATCTGTGGTGGGTGTGAAAAAAATGGAAGCATATTGAAAGGAGGCGGTTGATATCATGAAAAGATTCACTACGTGTGCTGTCTCCATAGTGCCTAAAATTGCTTACAGGATATATCAATGATACAGCAACAAAAAAATATGCCAGAAATAATGTCTAAACGCCTCACTATGGTAAGAATAATAATGTCTTCTCTACCAGTCAAGTTACTTTTAACATTAATGATTTAGATGAATAGAAGGTGGACTTTACTAACTATGGTAAATTAATTCGTAGAAGAATCAAGCAATACTCTGATGTCATTTAGTTTTACTTTATATATAATATGAAATATTGTAATTTTAAAGCTGTTTCAATTTTGTAAGTTTAGGTAGGCAGACAGGCAGACAGACAGACAGACAGACAGAGCTGGCTTATTGCAAAGCTCTTGCATGTGAGGTGCTCCACTGAAGCTTCATAAGAATTCTTAGACCATAAAAAGAATTGTTGGTTGCTTCCAGCAATTTTTGAAGCATGTTTATGCAGGATATCAGCAGGCTGCAATGTTTTTGCTTTTATAGTATGGTTTTGTTAATGATTCTTAGCATATCTATTATATTTAAATTCATATTAAATTGTAATATGACAAAGCAACATTGCAATATTTACATTCTGACATGAATATACAGAATGTAACTTGTGTATGTAATGCCTACCTCTATAAATGTATTGTTATAAACTATAGAGCCTCAATATGTATCTCCAAAATAATGAGATTGATCAGTGTTTTTATGATTTTTAAATTGCATTAAATAGGAAGGATTTTCAGAATTGAGTAATACTTTGCATTTGAAATCTGAATAAACAGTTGGAAAGAATTACATTTCATTATCATCTGTCTCTAGCATCCACGAAAGGCAATTGTGTTTCTGTTTGGCAGATTTCTAATAAAATACAATCTGTTTGCAATTTTCTACAATTGCACGGTAATATAATTTGCAGTTTTGGAAAATTTGGAAGTATCAACTTCCTGTTCATTTAAGAAAGACCATCATTTTCTGTAAAATAAAAAAAAAAGAGAGAGAGAGAGAGAGAAATTGGCAGTGGGTTCAAGATTAGTAAGCAGGAAATGAGAACTGTATACCTAAATCATTGAAATGATGATATGATACTGAAAAATTTAGTTACAACTGTGATCAAGTAAAAAGCTAGCAAGAATGTCTATTACATCAGTAACTCAATAGATACTGAAAAATAATTACACAAGCTTGTCACCTGAGAACTAAGGCTTACTGAGTTCAGTAGAATTCATTTCCCAATAAACATGTATAAGATTGCAATGTTTATCTATATGCTGCTAAAACTTTCATCATGACCTTTAACTGGGCAAAACAGTGCATCATAGGGCACCAAGTTTTGAATCTTACAGAATGTGTTCAAAATCCAGGACCCTGAGGGAATGAAAATGGTTAAATTGTGGCTGTTTCAGTATTACTGACTGCTGCTGGGATCACATGATCTTCATTGTTTTGTAACAATTTCCCAGCCAATCTCGCAATCCCTTGCTCCCTCCCCCAGTCTACAGCTGCCACTTACCTGGAAGGGAAGGAAAGGGAAAAGAGAGGAACAGGGAGGAAGGAACTGCCACGCTGCCTTCCTGGCCCATGCCACACATGACTTGTGCTATCCCCCTGCACTTTCCCCCTGCACCATCCCTGATTTGTGCTGCCACCACCAGCACCCCGTGCCTTCCCTGACTCATATAGAACCTTTAGCACTTCTCAAAGGACCTTTCCTGACCTGTGCCGCTCTTCTGCACATCTTTCCTGACCTACACAGCAACTCTTGCTCGCCCCCATACATCCTTCTAGGCCCATGCCATCCCTATGGGCCTTCCCTGACCAACGCAGCACTTGTTGCTGCGTTGCACATCCCCACGCTCCATTCCCAGCCCATGACATCTCCACATCCAATATTCCTGACCTGCATGGCACTTTTCACATAATCTCAAGTATCTCCACCTTTTCCAACCTACACCATTGCACCACCACGTACCATTCCTGAGTGGTATGGCAACTCTCACACTCATGACCCCCACACACCCTTCTTGACCTGTGCCATTCCCTTGTGCACTTTTCTCAACTCGCACACCATGCCTTGCACATCTCTACAAGACTGTTCCCAACCTGTAGCACCCACCTGCATCCTCTCCCCAACCCCCTTGCTCCCTCCCTCACCCGTCATCAGCCACTTACCTGCCTCCTGACCTTGGGCTTTCTACTTCATGCTGACATGCCCATTGACTTTCTCCCTGCAAGCTTCCCACAAGCAAAGTAAATGGGGAAGCTGGCAGGAATTCGGTGGAGGGAGGGAGGGAGGGAGGGAGGGAGGGAGGGAGGGAGGAAGGAATTTCTGATGCTTCCTGCCAGCTTCTCACAAGGAAAATCAATGAGGAATATAGAATAACAGAGTTGAAAGGGGCAGAGTTGGAAGGAAGCCCATTGGAAGTTGTTCCCGCTCCCACTGCTTTTTTGCCAATCACCTGTGGTCATTCTGTTTCTCTGTTTAGGTATGGAAATATCTCTGAAAAGATGATCCAATGGATTACAGTTTATCAGGGGTGCTCTATAAACAAGACCTGTCTGTCCATCCATCCTAGTACTAAATGTTCTGAACTAGTAATCCATGTTTGTCCAATAAGAAAAAGGTTCCCTGAAGAGATAGAATGGCACGAATGCTTGCTTCTATTGCCGTGAATCCCCTAATAATGTTTGTTATTTCTACACAGGACCTGTTGGACCATTCCTGTACCTCTGGAAGTGGCTCAGGGCTGCCTTTTCTGGTACAAAGAACAGTGGCTCGGCAGATTAGCCTGTTGGAGTGTGTAGGTTAGTCATTGTGTGACTTGTTCATCAGGAATAGCTCTGAGCAATGAGACTTGGACAAATGTTAAAGCAGTCATGCCAGACTCCAGATTATTTAATTCTACCTCCTTTCTTTTAGCTTAAGGAAGATTGTGCTAGATCAGGGGTAGGCAACCTTGGCTTTGTTATGACCCATGGACTTCAACTCCCAGAATTCCTGAGCCAGCATGGCTCAGCTTAGAAACCTCTCCCTTTCCCCTCAGCATGGCTTGCTCAGGAATTCTGGGAGTTGAGGTCCACGAGTCATAAAAGAGCCAAGGTTGCCTACTCCTGTGCTAGATGAAAATAGGTGGATCACTTTTTATTTCAAACGGAGTGGATCCAAATGGTGGACTTCCACCATTATGAGTTGCTTCACAAGGCTACCCAGAAGAAAAGCAGAACATTTTTTTTCTTCTCTGCTTTTCCTGAATGTGAAGTATTTGGAATTAAGTCTAAAAAATTGGCAAGGTTCAGTCTCAAGGGGAAAAAGTGACAAAAAGGAATCTACTGAGTATCGATTTTTCTCTGCTGTTGTATATTTTCATTTTTGTATTTAGGATGTAATTGTTTTTATTCTATTTGTTATTGCTCGCTGCCCAGAGCCGGTTTTTTTGAGGTAGACATCTTTACAAATGGATTAAATAAAATAAATACAGACAATCCCTGGGTTAAGAACGAGATCCATTTCCAAGTGTCTCCTTACATAGAATTTGTATGTAAGTCAAGTACATTAAAAACATGAAAACAATTAAAACAATAAATATATATATATGATCATTGAATAAAACTATTGTCATGGATGCTAATATAGCCAAGAAATGGGACCCGTAACACACTTGAGCCTCCAGGCCCGGGTGCATAGCCGAGTCATCAGGGACTTATGAAGGGCCAACCGAGTTGGAGTCATCCTAATCTCTGAAGGGAGGATGTTCCTGAGGGCAGGGACTACAGCACAGAAGGCATATTTCCTGATCTTGGCCAACCCACTCCTTGGCTGAGGAGATCTGTAAAATGCCCATCCTGCTGGACCAAATTAGGCAGGTAGAAATGACTTGGAGAAGACAGTCCCTTAGGTAACCATGTGCCAAGCCATGCTTTAAAAGTGACAACTGGCACCTTGAGTTTCACTCAGAAACACACCGGCAGCCAATGCAGTTCAGGTGCTATGCAGTGGTGTTAAACGTGTTTCAAATATCTGACAGCTTTTACTACAGTACCCATGCTTTCTGCAGCAGTTGAGGCTTCCTAATGCTATTAAAGGCAGCCCCCCCCCCCGTAAGATGTTTTGGTGTGGAGAAATTGCTGAAATTGCATCCTTCCTCCTTTCTGTATTCTTCCTGGTGCAATTTCTGTCACCCCAAGAACGAAAGGAGTTTTCAGTGCTTAAATCACAGGAGCAGCACGGATGCTATTCCAGTGGGTTTTTCATACGGCAGCTCTTGTGGGGGTCACTCCAGGGTCTGTTTCCTGTATTAGTAATGCTCTCACTTTTTCAGTTTTTTTGGGCGGGTTGTTACTGAATGTAACAAACAATATTAAACTTTGCAATTAACTAGGAACGCTCATAGTTTTAAAAGGACAAGTCATAAAGACTTTCTAATATTTTTCCATGATTTAGCACAGTGTTTCTCAACCTTGACAATTTTAAGGCATGTGGACTTCAACTCCCAGAATGCCACAGCCAGCATTGCTGGCTGTGGAATTCTGGGAGTTGAAGTCCACATGCCTTAAAATTGTCAAGATTGAGAAACACTGATTTAGCAGGTTGAATAGGTATAATCTTGGGAATAGAGAATCCTTACATGATCTTAGCTAGCTTTTTTTAAATATATGCACGGCACTCACCTTTATCTACAAATATTAGAAAACGACTGTAGCTCTGCATAGCCTTGGAACTTGGTCTTTTCCTAAGATAGACAGCATCTGTTTTTAGAGACGAAATGGTTAGCCTCTATTACGTTACTATTTTTGGATAGGAAGTCAGGAATCCCTCATAGGGGCCACGTGTCTCTTTTCCTTGAAACACATCTGTTGTTGAGGAACATGTGCCAAATATGAAGAAACGGGAGACTCCAATCTGATGTATGTTTCTGAGAAACAGAGCAGGTGGCACTGCACTGAATTAAACTTGTTTAGGTGGACCAGAGATACTCTATGTCAGTTTCTTATTCAAGACATATTTGCCCCCTTTGGAGGTGGGGTGGGCGTACAGGAGGGGATAAGTATCATTCTTTTGTAATGATCTTCACCGGTGTCGTATTAAAAAAAACAGTCATTGAGTCTCCAGGTACCTCCATCGGGCAAGGCAAATTATAATTCAGTGGGAGAATGTTTGCTTTACACCAGTTTTTAAGAAGAGACTGAACAGCCGTTTGTCCGAAATGGTATAGCGTTTCCTGCCCGAGCAGGAGGTTGGACTAGATGACTCCAAGATCCCTTCCAATTCTATTATTATTATTATTATTATTTTCAAAGTATGTTGGAATAAGAGTTGGAGAATCATGGAAGTGATTGTCCATGATTAATTAGTTTGGAGTTTAATCAACGAGTCACCTACATCTAACTTCATTCTCAGGTTTTAGAACAGTGGTTCTCAACCTTTCTAATGCCGCGACCCCATAATACAGTTCCCCATGTTGTGGTGACCCCCCAACCACTTATACATCACCGGGTGCCAGGGGCGTGGCCAAAGAAAAGGAAAAATGGCGGACAGCCTTGTTTGGCGACCCCCGTGAAATGGTCGTTCGACCCCAAATGGGGTCCCAACCCACAGGTTGAGAACCACTGTTATAGAAAAAAGAAGCTGAGGTAGAGGTAGTCTAGCTGTTTGTCAATATCATAGTGTTTCTCAAGCCTCGGCAGTTATTAGTCCAGGTAGTCCTTGACTTACAACAGTTCGTTTAGTAACCATTCGAAGTTACAACGGCCCTGGAAAAAAATGTCGGATGACCATTTTTCACACTTACGACCGTTGCAGCCTTCCCCATGGCCATGTGATCAAAATTCAGATGCTTGGCAACTGACTCGTATTTATGACGGTTGCAGTTTCCTGGGGTGTGTGATCCCCTTTTGTGACCTTCTGACAAGCCAAGTCAGTGGGAAAGCTAGATTCACTTAACAACTTAGCTGCTGCAGTGATTCACTTAACAACTGTGGGAACACATGTCACAAAATGGGGCAAAATTCATTTAACGACTATTTCACTTAGCAACAGAAATTGTGAGCTCAATTGTGGTCGTAACTCGAGGACTACTTGTATTTGCTTGCTCAATAGAGGGAAAGGGTAGTTTAGTTGAAATTAGCCATGTCAGGGCTCATCTGGAGTGGGATGCAGCTACTTCTGGAGTTAGATTAGCCCATCTTCAGGCTTGGGCCTTATTCCTGTAAGCCAGTGGTATTCAGACTGTGAGTAGCAAGTACCCAGACTGTTGTGAGCCCATTTCAGGAGGGTTGCAGGTTGACGGGCTTGCCTACACAAAGCAATATTACTGCCAGAATGCCTTCCCACTCCAGTTAGGTAAGCCAACTGCAAAGTTTGGGTTTTCTATATTGCTGCTATAAAGATCCATAATAATAATAATAATAATAATAATAATAATAATAATAATAATAATAATAAAAACAACTGTGGCAAAAACAAGCAAGGGTAGTACCAATAGTGATAGGCACCTTGGGTGCAATCACAAAACAACTGGAGCACCACTTGAACACCATTGGCATTGACAAATTTGCCATTAGTCAATTGCAAAAGGTGGCCTTACTAGGAACTACTTCCATCCTGCGACGATATCTGTAATACCATCAAACATCCACATCTGCCTATCCCAGGTCCTGGGTAAGGACTCGATAGGTAGACAAAATGCCAAATCCAGTCTGAACATCTGGCTGACTGTGCGATGATCCATAATAATAATAATAATAATAATAATAATAATAATAATAATAATAATAATAATAATAATAATCCACCCCCAGTGAGGCACTACCTTGACGTGGTTGTGGGGCTTGTGTACTCTGAGGAAGATGAGAGCTATGCTAGAGGTTCAACCATACTGGACAGGTCTCATCAGAGGAGTCAGACAAAGAGTGTCTCTCCCATAAAAAATATGGTGAGACGTAAATTTCAGAATGCCATACCGGCTCGGACGTCGCCCGGGTTAACAAGGTCCGCACTAGATATTGGAGTTCCTGGATATCTGGTGAAAAATGGGTTACAGGACTCAGGACTGTTGGCTGAGCAACCAGGGCCAGCAGCTGCAGAACTACTGGAAGAAAAGGTGTTTACCCGTCGCAGATACACAGTGATGGAAAACAAAGAAATAATGATCTGTTACTACAGATCAAGTCCAACAAGAAGAGGATATCTAAAACGAATGCACCAGTTCTGGAAAGAACAACATCCAGAATCAGAAATAACAGAACAGAGACTAGCAGATCAACGCCGATTTATAACACGAAATAAAGTATTCACAGAAACAGAATTGGACGAACTGCAAAGGTTTACCCAGGGCAAAGAAATCAAAGCCTTACCAGAAGTAATTCAGAATGTAGAGGCAAACCAGGGGGAGTTGGCAGTGAAGGAATCTAGCAGAGATATACAACTGTTCTCATTTGGAAACCAGGCACCTCTACCTCAGGAAAGAACAAAACCCTCTAACTAAAGAAATAAAAGAATTGAAACAAAGAATAACTGAGCATCTAGAACAGCACAAAAACAACAGAATAAGGCTACCTGCATTGAAGCTTGTTCCAAAGAAACAGCTAGCACAAGCATTAAAAGATGCAAATATTGCAATATCAAGTATAAGCACCAATTCATTGCAAGAAACAAACCAACTAATGTACAGCACAGCTGCAGTTATAACAGAATACCTGGGATGCAAAATCAACAAAGAAGAAAAACAAACAAACAGTGCACCAGAAAAATGGAAGGTTAGACTAGAAAATAAGATCAGCAAGTTAAGATCACATGCAAGCAAGCTAGAACAGATGAAAGAAAAGAAGCTGAAGAACAAGAAGACCAAAGAATACCTAATCAAGAAATACCACTTAGAAACAAGGAAGATCAAGGAAGCACTGGAAATAATAAAGCAACAAATAACAGCTATAGCCAGGAAAATCAGTAGATATGAAGCTCGAATTGCAAACTATAGGCAGAACCTCCAATTTCAATCCAATCAGAAACGTTTCTACCAATCCATCAATGGAGAAACTGCAAGGAATCAGTCAGTACCTGACAAGGAAGAAACAGTGCAGTTCTGGAAGCAGATATGGGATAACCCAAAGAAATACAACAAGGATGCGGCTTGGTTAAAAGAGGTGGATGCAAATAAAACAGAAGTTGAAATGAAAGAACTAGTAATAACAACAAAAATGGTAGAAAAAAGAGCAAAGAAAATCAAAAATTGGTCAGCACCAGGTGAAGATGAACTGCATGGGTTTTGGTTGAAACATCTAACTGTTATACACCCACTCATTGCCAAGCAGTTCAACAATATACTACAAGGAGGAGAAATTGAAAAGTGGCTAACAACTGGGAAAACCTACCTAATAATGAAAAATCCAGCAAAAGGGGCAACACCAGGTAACTACAGGCCAATTACCTGCTTACCAACAACTTTCAAATTACTAACTGGTGTAGTAGCTGATGCAGTACAACAGCATCTAGTTGAAAACAATCTCTTTCCACCTGAGCAGAAAGGAAACCGCCCCAATAGCAGAGGAACAAAAGATCAACTCCTAATAGACAAAATGATCTTGGAAAACTGCAAGAGAAGGAAGACCAACCTGAATGTGGCATGGATTGACTACAAAAAGGCATTTGACTCTCTGCCACATGATTGGATAATAAAGTGCCTAGAAATAACAGGAGTCAGTAGAAACATCAGAAAATTTGTGCAAAGATCGATGGCACAATGGAAAACACAGTTGCAGATCAATGGTGAGAGGCTGGGAGAGGTTAATATCAAGAGAGGAATATTTCAAGGAGATTCATTATCACCATTACTATTTGTTATTGCACTGTTTCCTCTGTCAACAATACTGAATAACTCAGGACATGGCTATCAAACATCAAAAACATCTGCCAGACTATCCCACCTCCTTTATATGGATGATCTGAAGCTGTATGGAAAAACATCATCTGAAATAGAATCGCTGCTCAACACTGTCCGTATATATAGCCAAGATATTGTAATGGAGTTTGGCTTGGACAAATGTGCCACACTTACTATCAAACAAGGAAAAATAATGAAAACTGAAGGAATCAAGATGCCCCACGAAAATAACATTAAGAGTCTGGATGAGGAAGAGTACTACAAATACTTGGGTATCCTTCAAGCTGACAACATCAAGCACACTGAAGTCAAGAAAAAGATTAGAGGTGAATACATCAAGAGAGTGAAGAAGATCTTAAAATCCAAACTCAATGGAGGAAATACCATAAAGGCAATCAACACCTGGGCAATCCCAGTCATTAGGTACACAGCTGGAATAGTGGACTGGACTCAAGCAGAACTAAAAGCAATGGATAGGCAGACCAGAAAAATAATGACAATGAATCATGCCCTTCATCCACGCAGTGACATTGATAGACTTTATCTACCAAGGCAAATAGGTGGGCGTGGAATGCTACAAGTACATCAGATGGTTGAAGAAGAAAAAATGGCTTTGGAAGAATATCTGAAGAACAATGATGAAGATGCACTGAAATTAGTATATCAGGAAGGCTTACTACTACTGGAGAGACCAAACTGGCCTACAAGAAAGACCAAATGAAGAACAGAATAGAGGCATGGGAAGACAAAGCACTACATGGCCAATACATGAAAAAAATAGCTGGGAAAGCAGATAATAATAAAACCTGGCAATGGCTAAGAGCAGGAAAATTGAAGAAAGAGACCGAGGGACTAATTCTGGCTGCACAAGACCAAGCCTTAAGGACAAATGCATACAAAGTCAAAATTGAGAAGACAGCAACAGACAGTAAGTGCCGCCTATGCAAAGAAGCTGAAGAAACAGTGGACCACTTGGTAAGCTGTTGCAAGAAGATTGCACAGACTGATTACAAGCAGCGGCATGACAAAGTAGCAACAATGGTGCATTGGAAGATCTGCAAAAAATATCATTTGCCTGTAAGCAAAAACTGGTGGGATCATAAAATAGAGAAAGTCATAGAAAATGATAAAATTAAACTGCTCTGGGACTTCAGAATTCAAACAGACAAGCACCTGCAACATAACACCCCAGACTTAACAATTGTCGATAAGAAAGACAAAAAAGTCTGGATAGTGGACGTGGCAGTGCCTGGAGATAGCAGAATAGAAGAGAAAGAACTGGAGAAGATAACAAAATACAAAGACCTACAAATAGAAATAGAAAGACTGTGGCAAAAGCAAGCAAGGGTAGTACCAATAGTCATAGGCTCCTTGGGTGCAATCCCAAAACAACTGGAGCACCACTTGAACACCATTGGCATTGACAAATTTGCTATTAGTCAATTGCAAAAGGCAGCCTTATTAGGAACTGCTTCCATCCTGCGACGATATCTGTAATGCCATCAAACATCCACATCTGCCTATCCCAGGTCCTGGGTAAGGACTCGATAGGTAGACAAAATGCCAAATCCAGTCTGAACATCTGGCTGACTGTGCGATGATCGATAATAATAATAATAATAATAGAGAAATGAAAGTGGCTGTCTCAAAAATACAATCCAGGTTTCATGCCCTTCCCATTAGGCAATCATTTATATCTAGTCAAAAGACTTTTCTTTTATAAACTGGCAAAGTTTTTTCCTGATTTATTTAATCTCTGGGTTAAAATTTAACTACTAAAAGTAACTAATTTATTTCTGGCCCACTTCTAACCCCAATGATATCATTGGTTTTATTCAGGGAATAGAGTGCATTCAAGTTTGCCCCTCTTTTTGGGGGGGGGAGAGGGGGTTTAAGTCCCTGCAAAGTTGAGAGGAGATGATAGAGATTCCGACGTCTCCTCAGTCCAGCAGCATAACCTTTGGAGGTTCATAAATATGGATGTTGAATATAATTTCTGGTTTGGGTGATAAGCCAAAAACTTTTCCTTTGAATGAAGCACTGTAGATAAAAATCTCTTTTGTTTATGCTTTCTAGGGAAAGGCCGATACGGAGAAGTCTGGCGAGGACAATGGCAAGGAGAGAACATTGCTGTCAAAATCTTTTCTTCCCGAGATGAAAAGTCCTGGTTCAGAGAAACAGAACTATACAATACTGTGTTGCTGAGGCATGAAAATATTTTAGGTAGGGAGAAGAATGGCATTGCTTAGGGAGGCCTGGACAGATGGGGAGAGCTTTGTGAACGGAGAGCCCAAATCTGCTGAGACCATCTCAACTCGGTCTTTTCTCTAGTTCTTCTTGAAGAAATAGAAAAGTAAACTTAGCTGCTAGAATAAAAGAAAGGTTAGATGAGACCCAATAATAGAGAATAATTGTTTGTTTAGAAGCAATATATTCTTCAGCCTCATCTCCCCTGAAAGCAATTAAACCTGCTTTATTATTGCACACATTTGCATAATTCTACAAATAAAAAAAAGCTGACCTGCAGTGGAATAAAGCATTAATGCTGCAAATAAACTGGAGTGTGTTGGTTGCCATAAAAATGCCAAACAGACTTATCGGCCATGCTTGCCAGGTGGCATTTGAATAAAGTGTGGTGTTTCAAAGGCAGACCTTTTAAGCCCAGGTTCAAGGTCTGCGTTTTATCCTTTGCAGACATTTGCTTCCCTGTAAAGGTATCTGGGCGATAGAGTAGAATGTCTCCTCCTAATCATTGGAGATAAGTGAACGGATGAAAAATCAGAATTTAATCATTGGCCGCTCTTGGTACCATCTCAGTTTAGACCTGATCTTTCTAGGCTTTCTGCAGTTGTCTTTTGGCATGCTTTGGTAGTGATATATCATGTGTTGGGAGCTATTTGCCTAGAATACAGTATCTGTTAAAGTGCTTTCTGTACAGTTGTTTCCATATATCAATATGGTGATGGCTAAAGCTAATTTACATTTACTTCAAGAGCCACCTGGTGGTGTTGGGGGAAGCATTCAGATGCTTTTCCTGTTATCCGAGTTCTTCAGTGCATCTGGTAGATTTATCCTCCCACCTTTGTTTTTAATGTAGTGTTCTTTCTAGTGAAGGAATGTAGTAGTGGAACTAGTGCTATAACTTTCATTGTTAATATAAGACAGGGATCTTCAAACCTGGCCCTTTTATGACTTGTGGACTTCCAACTCCCAGAATTCCTCAGCTAGCATGCCTGGCTGAGGAATTCTGGGAGTTGAAGTCCACAAGTCATAAAAGGGCCAAGTTTGAAGACCTCTGATATAAGAAGACCCTTCATCAAGCTATGTCTCCCAAGTTTTAAATCCAATTCAGTATCTTATTCCACTAATCTGCACATGTCTTCTCTCATTTCTGGGAAGTGCTTTGGTTGTGTTTCCAACTGAGCACTTAAGTAAATGTAAGAATTGGCTGTGCTGGATGGTCTGAGTGTATGTTTTGGTGCAGAGAACAGCTGCCCGTACTAGTGGCAAGTTGTAGGTGCTAGAACAAAATGCTCTTGGGTTTCTGCCAGAGGAGATGAGCTCCAAGTTTTAGCATTTTGTGTAGGTTAATGTATCATTCTGTAGACTCAATTTCAGATTCAATTCAGAAAAAGGGAGGACTTGGCTGTGAATTCATTGCTTTGCAGGCCATCTTGGAAAGCAAAGCAGCTACTTCAATAAGCGTTTGGTTTATACAGGCTCCTGCAGATGCCAAAGAATCTTTTCCAACCTGATTCCAAAACATTGCACATCCCAATAATCGTTTAATGTGGGAATTGCTGACTTGAAAAGGAGAGGAATTATATAGGTAGTCCTCGACTTACAACCACAACTGAGTCTACAATTTATGTGGCTAAGTGAGAAATTTGTTAAATAAGTTTTGCCCTATTTTATGACTGGTTGTTAAGTGAATCTGACTTCCCCATTGACTTTGCTTGTCAGAAGGTTGCAAAAGTTAATGGCACGATCCTGGGACACTGCCATCGTCATAAATATGAGTCAGTTGCCAAGGACCCAAATTTTGATGACATGGCCATGGGGAAGGCTGCAATGGTTGTAGGTGTGAAAAATGGTCATAAGTCACTTTTTTCCGTGCCTTTGCAACTGAACAGTCACTAAACGAACTGTTGTAAGTCAAGGGCTATCTGCCCTGATGAACAGAGCAAAAAATTGCAACATTTTGAGCATTTTCATGTCTTCAGCCGTAACTAGGGGAGAACGCTTACTACCTTTTTTTGAAGTCTGTTCAGGGAGGAATAGAATTTGCTTTTTGTGCTTAGAACAGCCTCAGTTCAGTCCTCATTGGTTTTAGGGATAATGGAGAACGGTGCAGTTTGGGGAAGAGTTTAGCCCAGGGTTAATTAACCTGGTGCTTTGGACTTGTTTTGGAACTCTTGTTCCTCGTCATTGACCATATTGGCTTCGTTTGATGGGAACCGAAGTCCAACTCATTAGGGGACCCAAGGTTACTTATCCCCGGTTTGTATCATAAGGACCATTATACGAAGAAGGAAATATCTGATAGCTTGCCTTTCTTAGGAATGTTCCTGTCTCTTTCAGGCTTTATTGCTTCGGACATGACATCACGGAATTCCAGCACTCAGTTGTGGCTAATCACACATTACCATGAAATGGGCTCGCTCTACGACTACCTGCAACTGACAACGCTGGACACTGTGAGCTGTTTACGAATAGTTTTGTCCATAGCTAGTGGCCTTGCTCATTTGCACATTGAGATATTTGGGACCCAAGGGAAACCTGCCATTGCTCATCGGGACCTGAAGAGTAAAAATATCTTAGTTAAGAAAAACGGGCAGTGTTGCATTGCAGATCTAGGTAAGTGGCTTCCTGTTTTCTTCTTCACATGGCCAGCATGAGTAGTTTATCACTGGGAGAGACTGGCCAAACCAACCAACCAGCCAAAACCCATGGAAGATAAAAGAGGGAAGCAAGAGCAAATGCAACAATAACAGATAGGGTCATATGTAAATCTAAATTTATTTATTTATTTTTATGAGACTTATATACCGCTTTAAGTGCAAGCACTCTCTAAGCGGTGTACACCAGTAAGCAATGTATATATATTTTACATTGCCCCCAACAATCTGGGTCCTCATTTTACCTACCCCGGAAGGATGGAAGGCTGAGTCAACCTTGAGCCGGTGAGATTTGAACCGCTGACCTGCTGAACACAGTCAGCTAAAGTGGCCTGCAGCATTAAAGATTATAAAGATGCTACATTATTCATATAATGAATTAAATATCTATTGGAAGGATGTCATCCATTCTTTTCTTGGTGTCACTTTTGATAGCAAGCTAGAAAGTTTCGGCATCCACTAGAGGGCACTTAACATCCAAAAGTTTTTGCTGCTCCTGGATGTATCTTGTACTGTTTTCTGAATGTAGAATGAGACTTCTTTCTCAATCTGATGTCCTCCAGGTGTTTTGGACCTCAACCCCTTGAACTCCCTCCCAGCATTTTATATGGCAATAATTAATTACTATTGAAAGATCCCCTATACTAGCTTTTTAAAAAGCCTATAACAACACAGCATGCGATGTTGAGCCAAGTTTAGGACTGTTAAAACAGACTGTAGTAAAGCACAAATTACAGACTCTCTCCCTTCCTCCTGATTACTGTTAGAAGGTCATATTTTTTTGCTTCTTTTTATCATTGTAAAGTGTTGCATGAAGACCAGAAATTGTAGTTAAAGTTCATCATGGTTGTTGAAAACGAGCCACCTTAAATCAGTTGTGGTGTGAAATTTGCTTATTTCTACTATGTTATCCTGCCCACCTAACGGTTCCAAAGTATGCAAATGCAAGTAGATTAATAGGTACCACTTTGGTGGGAAGGTAACAGCGTTCATGCGCCTTTGGCATATAGCCATGTTGGCCACATGACTACGGAAATTGTCTTCAGACAACGCTGGCTCCCTTGGGCAAGAAACAGAGATGAGCACCGTGCCCTAGAGTTGGCCACAATTGACAGGGAAACCTTTATCTTTTTTTTACTTGAGCCACATAGTAAATATTGTTTTAATTTCAAAGGTTAAGTTTTTTAAAGCTTTTTATAACCATTGGATAGGAGAGAGAACAGTGTATGGACCCAAGGGTTGCTTAAACTTCTTTTCATAGTGGTAACTCTGGCTGAGTACCCATAGGCTATTCAATTGCTGCTTTATTGGTGTGAACTATCTATTTTTCCACTGGAGTCTGCCTGTTTTCTGGATGATAAACACTTATATTTCAGAAGTGTATGTGATACAGCAAACTCAGCTAACATCTTCAAGATTTTTTCCTTTGTAAAACTATTACAGATCTAACTTAAAAGAAAAAGGGGGCATTTCACAATAACTTTTTCCTTTGTAATTATAGGTCTCTCCGTCATGCATTCTCAAAGTACCAATCAGTTGGATGTTGGGAACAACCCCCGTGTAGGTACCAAGCGCTATATGGCCCCAGAAGTCTTAGATGAAACAATTCAGGTGGATTGCTTTGACTCCTACAAAAGAGTTGATATTTGGGCATTTGGACTGGTCCTCTGGGAAGTAGCCAGGCGCATGGTTAGCAATGGTATGTAAATGTGAATTTAGTTTAATCTGTAAAGTTTAAATCCTTCATCCTGCTTTTCCATTTAAAAGCACTTCAATGTCAAGTTCGAGCAACCAGAACCACTTGTGGATAAGCCCAAACAGATATTTTATTGTCGATCACCTTTATTACAAGAATGTCACCAGATTGTCTACCTTCCCTTGGGAAACAGCAGATATACTGTAGACCTGAGGATTTGACTTGAGACATTTTCTCTCTTGCACAGACCCTTGTTGGAATCTCTGTTTACTCCCTCTGGCAAGGGGCCTTCAGCCAGTGGTTCCACCACATTTAGCTGACTATCAAGATAAACTATGCTGAAAATGTATATGCTGAGATACCAAATAGCCAGATTAAAAAAATCAGCCAAAGGAGGGAAAGCAAAGGGGGAATGAAAGACAAATCTTTATTTTTACACCTGAAGTAGTTGGAATTAATAATCCAGGCAGCAAGAAATTCCATAAAGCTTAAGGATTTCTCCTCTTCCTTTCCACCAGCATGGAAAAAATTTCCCTTGGAACAAATAATAGGGTTTCACCAAGAGTCCCTCCAGCTCTTACAAGCCAGACAAATTCATATGGGAGCAGGAAACCATCATTTCTAGTACAAGGCTTTTCAAACTGTGTTCTGTAGACCCCTGGGGTTCTATGAGAACTTTTCTTCCATGAGACACTGGGGCAAAAATTGTTATTTAAATAACAACAGCAATATTTTTTTTTTAATTTACTGAGGAACTGTGGCAAATAAACGTCAAGAGACATCTAGAATGATGCCAATAAACGGGCCTTATCAGGTGCACGTGGCTATAGAAAATAAATGCATAAATTAATAAGCTGCTATTAGATCTCTCAGCCATGAATTTGCAGCAACCTTCTTGGACCAGGAAGTATTGAAGATAATGGCTCTCATTTTTGTCATATCCTTGTTAGACTATTGCAATTTGCTTTGCATGGGATTGTCCCCGGATATGACCCGGAAAACTAGCTGGTGCAAAAGGCAGCTGCTTGCTCGGATTGCTTACATTGTGGGAACTGTATTAGTTGCTGGGCAGCTTCTGGGTCCAGTTCAAGATGCTGATTACCTGTATAACCCTATATGGCTTGGCTATTTGCTATATCTGGGATGGTGAAATTTTCCTGCCCAATAAGGACCAGCTAGGAGAAAATGCTATTAGTGTTCATGGCCTGAGGGGAGCAAGATGGAGGATGGTCTTCTTTCTTTGGAATAGCTTTCTTTCTGAGGTTAAGATGACATTTAGAAAGACTACAAAAAGATGCTCTTCTGAAGGGCCTTTGGAGAAGAAGAGCCTAAATGGGCAACAGCAGAAGTAGAGTTTTGTGGAATTGAATTATTGGGATTTTGTTTTTTTTACTTTCCTGTAATTGTAAGCTATTTAATGCCTGGCTGAGGAATTCTGGGAGTTGAAGTCCACAAGTCATAAAAGGGCCAAGTTTGAAGACTCCTGATTTAAAGTCTTAAAAAGGTGACAAACAAGCATAAATAAAGTAAGCTGCTTACTGTTTAGCTTTTCAGCACAGAAAGGTTGGCCAGGTGCTGCTAGCTTCGGCAACTGTCTACTCTGTAAAATAGGCGAAATTTTAGCCTGCTTGCTAGAATTGATACTGTTCCTGTAATCGGTTTCATAAGCCCTCTAACAAATGATGTGAGAATATTTGCTTGCTAAATTTCAAGGAAAATTCAGAGGCTGTTTCTGATTGGACATATAGTCACCAGCCATATTAAACATTTTAAGCAGTGTAGAGCAGGAGACAAGTCAAGAACAAGTTTATCTTTTTTGGTGGCACAAATACAGAATTACTCAGGTTTGTCCCTTTTATGAGCTTTTCAGCTGTGCTGGGAAGAGAAGTATTAGAGACAGTGGATATTAACCAGAATGATTAGCAACGTAAGGGTGAGTTGGAACATCTTTTAAGTAAGAGGGAAGGATTAGTAAAGCTTTTACACCTTTCTACAGTATCTAGGGGAAAACGATAACTGGTTGGATTAGAAATAATGCGGAAATTGCCATTTGTGTCACTTCAGTGCATTAACATTAACCTGAATTTGGTGAACTGTAAATTCAAAATAAGTGGGGGGGGGTTTTCCCCCCCCCAATTCCATGCAGAGCAAAATTTAGCCCTGTTGGATTGCAGTCCCACCAGGAGCATCAAGATAAGGGTGGCTGATCTTAGCATCAGACGTATAGGTCCCCTATCCAAAGCACCTGAAGGCAGGACAAGAAGCAACGGGTGGAAACTAATCAAGGAGAGAAGCAACCTAGAACTAAGGAGAAACTTCCTGACAGTGAGAACAATTAATCAGTGGAACAGCCTGCCTCCAGAAGCAGTAAATGCTCCAACACTGGAAGTTTTTAAGAAGAGACTGGACAGCCATTTGTCCGAAATGGTGTAGGGTTTCCTGCCTGAGCAGGGGGTTGGACTAGATGACCTCCAAGGTCCCTTCCAACTTTACTACTATTACTATCTTTATTTATTATTTATTTTGTACGTTGAAGGACAGTTCTCTTTAAGGCGTTTTCTTTCTTTTTTTCTGGGGAACTGAAAAGAAAGTGGATCAAGGTTCATTGGGACTGTATTAAGGCAGAGTAGCTCAGAGGTTAATATTGCCCTTCTGGCATTCTTTAGTGTTTCTGGAATTAGCTGCAGTCCCCTGGGTGGGTCCATGAAAACTTTTACTACATTAATTGTCTTTTTTAGTTTTCTTTTTAAAATGCATTGGAATAAAAGCCAGACAGCCACAGCAGCTTCTTGTATTGTAATATATTCACAGAACGAATAGGGGAAGCTTGGAGTCAGTCATAATTAACTGAGTTTTAAACATGCTTGGGATAAACACACCCTATCATTTGACAAAAATTAAAATTAAAATAAATAAATAAAGTAAATAAAATACTACTTAAAAAGAAAAAAAACCTCAAAGGGGAGAATTGATGGAGGACCACTGGCTCTTTTTCTGCCATCAGTTTTCTATGTTTCTGTATTCAGCTTATAATATACAAATAGTTATTATTTGGGTTCTATAAATGGAAATCGTGCATTGAACAGACTTTCCCAGCTTGATGTCTCCAGCTGTGTCTATAACAATCTGTTCTACATGTACAGAAGCACTGACTGAATCTCTCTGTCAAAAAAAGTCTGGAAAGGGTTTTGATTTGAACATTTGGGAAGGGTGTTTTCCAATTTGGGTGGCATTGTGAATATTAGACTTCCTTCATGTCCCTAATAAGGTTAGAAGAGACTGTAGTGTAGCGTGTCCTCCAGTCAGAGGCCATGCTGATAGGATATTCCTGGAAGATCAAGGCTGAGGAAACTAGTAGTAATGTGCACCTGAGAAGCCTCGTTTGCATTTCTCAAGGCTGTTCCTCCACATGGCAGGAAGATCAGGTCCATTCCTTTTCCCCTTCTGTTTTTTCTGGGTTTTAACCTTTTAATCTAATGAAGAGACCTTGGAAACTTTAAAATTTTGCAGCTGAGTTGTAAAGATTCAGTTGGGTGAATAAACGGCTTGCTTTTGTGGGTTTGGGATTATTTTTTCTCATGGCCAAACAATTTGTATTGGAGAGAACTAATCACTTTTGGAATTAAGCCAATCCAGATTTGTGAGTTTTGAAATACAGAAACATTATTATAAGCTGCCAGATAAAATATGTTTTCTGTTTATTTCTATCTGCTTGTTTAAAAAAATTCTAATGATAGACTAAAAATTTCATAGCAAGTGATTGTGTTTGTGTTCATTGCTAGGTTTTCTAAGGTTGAATTGCCCTATCTATATTTCTAAAATAAAATATCTAGTTGATCTGAACATTTCCTCTTGAAACTTGCTGAAGCATTTATTGTCTCTTATTTTAATAATAGTTGTACTGTACATGATCAATTCTTAATGGGATCAAAATGTCGAAATGGAATGTTGGATTGGAATACACACCCAGGTTGTCCTGAATATTTCTGCAATTAAATTATATAGTTCAAAATGATTTTATTTATTTGAGGGAGGGGAGCTTGTGTCCACAAAACCACAATTCAGAGACTCTTAACACTCTCATAAGTATCTCAAAAGACTCTCAACAGTGAACTGTAGCCATAAAGGATAAAATTTAAAACAGATAAATCATAACAATCAAATGGCAACAGTACAAGAATTCCGTCAACAATATTGTCACTGATGATATTACCTAGTTTGGGTAATGAAACGTCTGCAAGAAAGCTCAAGAGAGCACCAAGGACCCCTCATTTCAGCCCTGAGCTACACATTTTCTCCTTTATTGATATTCATGGCATCACTTCATCCTCTGTAGACTCTTCAGAACAGTATTGTTTTTAAGGCCAGTGTGGGAGCTAGTCTGATTTCCAGAGGGTGAGTTTTTCATAATGCGGGCATGCTTAATTGAGAAGCCATGCCTGTGAGACTCGGTGCCTCCCCTCGAAAAATAGAGAACCAATAGCTTCTTCCAGGTTGGAAGGTTCAAGCAGATTGACTTGGGCCGGAGAAGGTAGTCTTGCAAGTATCTTGGTGCCAAACCATAAAGAGATGATATAAGTTAAAACTGTTGTTTTGAATTGTACCCCAAAAGTAATCAGTGCCAGTGCTTTAGCTTATTTTGACATACATGAACCAAGAGCAGTGTTGCTGCATTGCAGACCATTTGCAGCTTCAAAGTCATCTTCAGAGATAGCCTTATTGAGAGTACATTGAAGTAGTCTAAAAAAGGGATGATTTGGGTGAGGTCCTCCCATTTCAAGTAGGACCCCAAAGGTGGGCAAAAAATCCCCATGGCTATCATCTGCACCTGCTATCCAGCAGTAGCCATAAGTCCAGAGACTTGTATTCTTGGGTTATCGCCTTTCCATTAAGAAGCAACACCAGAATTACCCAAGTGCCTTGATGATGTATCACACAGTAGCCGCCACTATCCCAGTAAAATATCTGATTTGTTATAGGCAGTTATGATCAACCTATTCTGGACTTCAGACTTGTTCTTTTGGGGAAGAGCACAATCAATCTTACGCTGACTTCCCTCTTACGAAATTATTGTGCCACTGGCACAGCCTCTTCTGAAGAACATGTTAGCTAGTTTGGGTCTAGATCGTTAGTGCACAATATGTAAAAGCAGGTATAAAGAAATGCTAATTCTTTTCCTCTTTCCAAATCTGTAATAGTTTTGCTGCTTTGCCATACATATAATTTGTTTTCTGTACATGTTTACAGAGTCAAACTTCTTTCTAGTCCACGGGGAGGCCTAGCTGATTTAATGCTTTGGTTGTATTGTGCTCTTAGGATTTCATTTCGTAATATCAGTGAGATGTCACAAAAGCTTCCAACTGGAAAAGTTTAATCCCTTTGTAACAATATGTGAACTTTGCATTGCTAATGAACGTCTTAAAATATATTGGTGCAATAACATATCCTTTGTGGTTTTGGTGCAGGTATAGTTGAAGACTACAAGCCTCCATTTTATGATGTAGTTCCTAACGATCCTAGTTTTGAAGACATGAAAAAAGTAGTTTGTGTGGATCAGCAGAGGCCAAATATTCCCAACAGATGGTTTTCAGACCCTGTAAGTACACTTGCTGAAAAGGGGTTGATATATTTTCTACTTGATCATCTGTTAAGAATTGTTAAAACCATCTGGTGTTTATACTATAGGCCAAACTAGATGTGGCAGCAGTAATTACATTTGTTTAATCATCCATCTTTCCCATTCATAATACAACAGGAGGTGGCCATATTTTTACAAGAAAATAGGCATGTGGGCAAAGGAGTTGAACCTCTCACCCCTGAAATTTATTCACCTGTATAGCACTTTTACTTTGGTCTAGAGGCTATTTGGAATACAAGGGATTTGAATGAAAGTGCAAATAACGTAGGGAAAGTATTGACTGCAGTTCTCACTTTTGGTACTTGCTATTCTGTTTATACTGAAATTGGGGAAAAAAGGTTTCATGTGAAAAATCATTGTAGAAATGTTCTACTCACGGTTGAGTGCTAGAAGAGAGAAACTTGCAAGCTGAATCGTCTTTAAGAAAAATTGAAAAAAGCTTGTAGGCTTTCAAAAAAATCTGATTTTTTTTTACATACATTGTTGCTCCCCCAGTATAAAATATCATTAACAAGCAGAGACGTATAGCCTATCAACTCCAGGACTGCATAATAGTCTTACCTAAATATTTACAAATTCTGGAGTGGAAACAGAACATACCTATCTAAGATCAGGGAGGGAGCTTTCCATTGAGTGGCCCTGCAAAGCCAAATGAAGGCATAATCCATTGGGCAGAAGACAGGGAGAAAATCTTGATCAGGTGAAAACTATATGGGGCTCATTTGCAATCAAAGATGAAGCTGTTAGAAAAACCTTGAATGTTTCGCTCCAACCACCAGTTGTCCTGAGACTGCAGAACCAAAGGAAGTACGCTTTACAGCAATTAAGGGCTGTTCAGTTGTATAACCTTCTGGTTTCTGTATATCTCTGCGCAACTCTTTCCCTGATTTGCGTCTTCTATTCCTAGCAGTGTCTCTTTTCTCCTTCCCCATAGTATTGAGGCAGATGCTTTTGGAAACTCTTCGGAGAGGCATTTGATGCTCAGGAATAGCTGAAGGCTCTGTTACTGCTTCTTAGCTTTAAATATTGAAGCATCTTTTTTAATTAAAAAAGTTATTTGAGTACTATAGATAGAAAATGTGGAAGACCCAAAAAGAAACAAGCTTTTGGCCAGGGGTCTTCAAACTTGGCCCTTTTATGACTAGTGGAGTTCAACTCCCAGAATTCCTCAGCCAGACACACTGGCTGAGGAATTCTGGGAGTTGAAATCCACAGGTCATAAAAGGGCCAAGTTTGAAGACCCCTACTTTAGGCTGGTACTAAGGTCACTTGTAAAATTCTCAACAGGTTTGAATTATATTTCATAGGGAAAACTGGCCAAGACACTTATTTTCTTTTAAAAAGAGCAAGAGAGCACTCTTGATTTTCCTGATTGTACTTTCCAGTTCAATATGAACTTGGGAAAAACTTTATTAATATTTTTCCATTTTATATTTTCATCATCTCTTGTAGTGGGATTTGGGTATATTAAATGAAGCACATTGAATTGAATTGATCAAGTGTGATTAGACACACAAGGAATTAGAAACAGCCATCAACCACTGATCATTTGTGTGTGTCAGTTAGGTTTATAGTGTTGAAACTGATTACACGATCCAGTTTGGATCAGACCATAGTTTAGGGAAATGATTATTTAGCATACAGACAATAGTTTAAATCTCAAACTGTGGTTTGAGGCCACTGCTGTATTCTGTTTGGTCAGCAGCCGTTTTCTAGCAGCGATAAAATCAGTGTGGTTGGAGCACCAGTGTGCCATCAAAATACTCTACTCTGAATATATATTTCTGTGCTTACCTTTTCAGACATTAACTTCACTTGCTAAGCTCATGAAAGAATGCTGGTATCACAATCCATCGGCACGATTAACAGCTTTGCGTATCAAAAAGACGTTGACCAAAATTGATAATTCCTTGGACAAGCTCAAATCTGACTGTTGATAAAAGGCCACAATGCCGGCAGACACTAAGAAGGACATGCAACTCGCTGAACTCTGGGATTTGGTTCCAAGTGGCTTCAGCCACCGGCACAGTTGTACACCCAACCAGCCATTTGAGAGGAAACAGAGCCATGAGAACCTGAACTGGCGCCTGCCACAGCATTTTTTTTTTTTTTGCAAATGGCCAATCATTAAAGACTTCAGGCTGAATCTCTGGTGGCCTCTGAAAGAAGACAGAGGAGTCCTGAGACAAAATTGGGGCATTAGAACCATGGCTTTTAATTATTATTATTATTTTTTAATTCAAGAAAAAGAAACAGATGCTCCCAACTTTTGGCACATGGAACTGGTCAGTTTTAACTTTGCCTGCGTGTCTCTTCTTCGTTGCACCAAGGGATTCCTTGCATTCCTTCCTTGCACTGTTACAGTTTAATTTTAAGAAACGGACTTGCCAAAAGTAGGATTGGCTTTGTACTCCTTGGTCTTTATGTTTTTGGATATTAGAAAATCAGTTTGGGCAACCGAACCCATAACTGACTCTTCTCCTCTTTCTCTTTTTATTTTGTTAAGCTGCATTTTACATATGTGTACTGTTTACACTAAGGATGGACACTAGGAATTGTTGATGAGGAAACATGCGGATGTTAATTTATTACTGGTGCATTTAACAGTTTTTTAAAAACTGAGAAAAGTGCATACAGTTAAAGTTTATTTTTATGTAGCTTCTATCACTTCTTACAGTCTCTTTTTCGTAATATCATATAATCTGAATTGGTTCTGTTTCTTTCCCCTGTTGAGTCATTTAGACATTTTAATCACATTTTTAAGTGTTTCACATTTTACATGTGTATGGTCTGTAACATATATTTTCAGTTCAAAATATGCAAAACATTTATATATAAATATTATATATATAAATATATATATATATCTAAATATAAAGCCATTACTCAAATTATGTCACATCTAGTACCTTATTGATTTAGAACAGTGTTTCTCAACCTTGACAATTTTAAGGCATGTGGACTTCAACTCTCAGAATTCCACAGCCAGCAACGCTGGCTGTGGAATTCTGGGAGTTGAAGTCCACATGCCTTAAAATTGTCAAGGTTGAGAAATATTGATTTAGAAGAATGGATTAGCAGAGCAAAAGAGCAAACAATAAGGTCATAAGAAAGTACTGCTTCCTCCCTCCCCCAATTTATACATGAGTATTTAAATGTGGCAAGGAAGAAATAGCTTTAATTTCCTTTTTTTTCCTATTAAGTAGCTGCTTGTATAAACAAAAGAGAATATTTCCCAGTGAAATGAAAGGGGAGCATTCTACTTAGTGCCTCCTGAGCTTAAGGTGAAGGTGGTGTGTTTAAAGTGAAGCATAAGCATATATCTGTGGATGATTCTCATTCTGAACTGGGCTGGGCTGTGAAAAATCAGCCATCAAGTGTTTTGGTCCATGTGATGGAAAAGAGATCTCTGAGCTTTGGAATGCTGCAACCATCCCTCAGACGGGGGATGGGAACATTGGATATTCATTCTGGAGCTGTGACCTCATAATGGCATGGATTGTTGCGTGATGTATGGATAAAAAGATGATGTCTTCTGGCTGCTTTTTTTTATATCAAGTTTCCCAAGTAAACAACTTTGATTCTAGTGCCTTGCTTTGTACTATAATTACTCTTCTTTGAATCCTTCCAGGTAAAAGCTTGGAATGCTGACCTTTTTGATCATTAAACCAGAACAATGCCACAGGCATGTCTGGAAAAAGGCTGAATGGATTTGGTTTAAAATGAGAATTATTTTTTTTTCAGATAAGACAGAACAATTGAGGCTTTCATTGTCTTCTGTCCTATCTCACATGCTTCAATAAGAGTTATTTGGGTGATATATACATGGTTTGATATGGATAGAAATATTCTGAGGGAGATAACGGCTGCTTTCACTAAATGGAGACATCACCATCATTCATATAGTAGTGGATAGGCACACCATGATTTGTTAGGATCTGTTTGCATCACCTATGCAATTCAGATTTTCTTACGTTACTTTTGCTGTGCAGAATTTTGCCAAGTGATCTCAAAAGTAGTATTTGAATTGATTGCAGATATGAATTAATTCCCCACATCAAAAGTTGCGTTTGCAGAAAAGTAGCTGAATCACTTCTTCCTTGTATGTAATACCAGAAGCTACATATATGGGCCAACTTATATGTGAGTAAGCAAAGGGTAATGCTGGAAAGGACCCATAAAATGGTATTTGATATCCTTCTTCCTAAGCTTTCTATAGTTTGATAAGCAGCATGGTATTTTCTAAGAGAATTGCAACTTGTTCAATTGACTTTCACTTGTTAAAATACTGGGTGACAAGCCAAAAAGAAAAAGAAATGAGAAATTTACCAATTTTTAACAAACTCCATTTAATAATGATGAACTTTTTCATGAGGACTGGTTATCCATCTAATAAATACTCATCCTTTGACGTTGTAGGCTATTTAACAATACTTACAGACTGATGGGGTTTTGGTGCATCCATTATTTCTGACTTGCTACTTCACTTTAATACTTTTTAACACACAAATTACTCTTGGATATTTTTTTTCAAGTACTCTTAAGATGAGGATTACAACGCAGTTGACACACATAAATATGGAAAATATCTAGGGATTCACTGCTGCAGAAAGAATGGGTTTGAATTCATATATCTGGAATAGTAATTGTGGGTGGTATACGATGCACTTCAGAATTGAAACATTTTAAGGTGGAATTACACATAGACTATTTTCCCAGATTGTTTTGCAGGAGGAAAACATGCTCAGGGAAAATCAAGTAGTTACCCAAAAACTTTCCTAAGCAAATAGACTGGTGTGTCTCATAGGGGAAATCAATATGTCATTATTTTCAAGATGCCAAGCAAACATGTCAATCTAGGCACCAAAAGTCTAAGGTTTATTCCCTAAGCAGGCTGGAGCAGATACGTGTGGCTCCAAGTCTTAGAAGAGATTCATGGAGCTCCTTGCAAACAATACAAATGCAGCATTTTAAGAACCCTGTTTGAGGTATGAAGGGGAACAGGAGTGATTTCTAGGCCTCATGTTGATTGTTCCAGCAAGACGACATATATAATGTACAGTAAGTGATGCAAGTTGATTTTGAGAATTCTGGTTTCCATTTCATAACTGTTATTAAAAAGTCTTTCCGTTGGTGAAGATTTTCAAGAGTAGAGTAGAGTAGAATAGAATAGAGCTGGAAGGGAGGTCTTCTAGTCCAGCCCCCTGCTCAAGCAGGAGAACCTATACCCTATACCATCTCAGACAAGTGACTTGTCTAGCCTCTTCTTAAAAATCTCCAGTGATGGAGCGCCCACGATTTCTGAAGACAAAGCTGTTCTACTGGTTAATTTTCCTCACTGTTAGGAAGTTTCTCCTTAAGTCCAGGTTGCTTCTCCTCAGACAAAGAGAGGATGCCAAAAACAAGGACTCCCAGGTCAGGGAGAACATGATTGCATGTGTCTTTTTTTCAGACTGGATGTTTGTCTGAAAAGGGAACCTTACTGGTTAAATGGGACCAATGAAGGAGAATATTTGTAGTGCAGGGTTGAAATGTGCGGTCCCTGGTGCTCCCTGAGCTTGCTTGTTTTCTTGCAGACATTTCATGACCCCCAAGTATGATAGGCAACATCATCAGCGCCAACAAGATGATGGACAACAAAAGATTGGACAACCATTTGGCTCAGGTCTCCTGCTCTGAGCAGGAGGTTAGGCTAGATCTCCAAGGTCTTTTCAAGCAGGAAAGAATGACTGGTATAAAATCTACATATAATGGTGCTACATTTTTCAGGGAAATACATAAAGTTGCATTTGCTATGCAACTTGCTTTCCCAATGTGGTGCTTTTCTGCTGCCTTGAACTACCTTTATTTATTAATCAAATTATTCAGGCATGCATCTCACAGAAAGTGGCCGGCATACAACAATCCAATAAATATAAAACAACCATTACCTAAAATGATCGTAATTATTCAAAAACATTAAAAATTATAAAAGCAGAACTAAACAAAAATGATAGGTGGAGGGATGTTAATAATAACAGCCACCTCACAAGTTCACTTGTTCCCTGGGGTTCCCAGGTCTGCTATCATAACCAGGTCTTGTGAGGCCTTCAAAAGATGAGTGATGATGCTGATGTCATTTCTGGGGTGGGGTGGGGAAAAGATTCCACAATGTAAGTGCCACAGCAGAAAAGGCCCACCACCTACGCCCGCCAAATTATATCATCTAATTTCTTCATCTAAGTTTCTCAGCCATTTTGTCACATTGTTGAAGAATGATGAGGTTGTAGCACAAACGTATTTGGAAACCCACAGATTGGAAAGGCTCATGTGAGCTATGGAAGGGATTCCTGATTTAGTTTTTGCCAGAATTTCAAACCAAAATTAAATTAAAGAAGATGACAATGCCATTTCTGTTTCGCTGAATTTCTAGAGCAAAAAAGGGCCAAGAAAAAAATTTAATATTCCAAAGATCACTTTAAAATGATATTTACAGTGAGGAAAAAAATTATTTGATCTGCTGATTTGGTACATTTGCCCACCGACAAAGAAATGATCAGTCTATAATTTTAATGGTAGGTTTATTTTAACAGTGAGAGACAGAATAATAACAACAAAAATCCAGAAAAACGCATTTCAAGAAATTTATAAATTGATTTGCATTTTAATGAGTGAACTAAGTATTTGATCCCCTATCAATCAGCAAGATTTCTGGCTCCCCGGTGTCTTTTATACACCTGGGAGCACTCTCTTAAAGGGAGTGCTCTTAATCTTAGCTTCTTACCTGTATAAAAGATACCTGGCCACAAAAGCAATCAATCAATCAGATTCCAAATTCTTCACCATGGCCAAGACCAAAGAGCTATCCAAGGATGTCAGGGACAAGATTGTAGACCTACACAAGGCTGGAATGGGCTACAAGACTATCGCCAAGCAGCTTGGTGAGAAGGTGACAACGGTGCGATTATTCGCAAATAGAAGAAACACAAAATAACTGTAAATCTCCCTTGGTCTGGGGCTCCATGCAAGATCTCACCTCGTGGAATTTCAATGATATGAGAACAGTGAGGAATCAGCCCAGAACTACACGGGAGAAGCTTGTCAATGATCTCAAGGCAGATGGGACCATAGTCACCAAAAAAACAATTGAGAACACACTATGCTGTGAAGGACTGAAATCCTGCAGCGTCTGCAAGGTCCCTCTGCTCAAGAAAGCACATGTACAGACCCATCTGAAGTTCGCCAATGAACATCTTAATGATTCAGAGGAGAATTGGGTGAAAGTATTGTGGTCAGATGAGACCAAAATCGATCTCTTTGTCATCAACTCAACTCGCCGTGTTTGGAAAAGGAGGAATATTGCCTATGACCCCTAGAACTCCATCCCCACCGTCAAACATGGAGATGGAAACATTATGCTTTGGGAGTGTTTTTCCACTAAGGGGACAGGACAACTTCACTGCATCAAAGGGACGATGGACAGGGCCATGTACCATCAAATCTTGGGTGAGAACCTCCTTCCCTCAGCCAGGGCATTGAAAATGGGTCTTGAATGGGTATTCCAGCATGGCAATGACCCAAAATACACGGCCAAGGCAACAAAGGAGTGGCTCAAGAAGAAGCACATTAAGGTCCTAGAGTGGCCTAGTCAGTCTCCAGACCTTAATCCCATAGAAAATCTGTGGAGGGACTTAGTGATTTAATGACCTTAATGACTTGGAGAGGATCTGCAAAAAGGAGTGGGACAAAATCCCTCCTGAGATGTGTGCAAACCTGGTGGCCAACTACAAGAAACATCTGACCTCTGATTGCCAACAAGGGTTTTGCCACCAGGTACTAAGTCATGTTTTGTGAAGGGGTCAAATACTTATTTCACTCATTAAAATGCAAATCAATTTATAATGTTTTTGAAATGCATTTTTCTGGATTTTTTTGCTGTTATTCTGTCACTGTTAAAATAAACCTACCATTAAAATTATAGACTGATCATACAAAATCAGCAGGGGATCAAATAATTTTCCCCCTCACTGTATTATTAGTGGGGAAAAAATCAAATCATGCACATCCAGTAAAGTAACACAGAACTAGCAACTTTATTTATTAACTATTTACTTATTTATTGGCTGTTCACAGTATCCTCAGAAGTCTTCTGTGACACCACCTCGAACAGCCTTGTCTCAGTTCTTTGCCCCCCTAGAGCCAGTCTGTTTTGCCATGTTTTGTCTGAACTGTGGTTACCTTACTTGTGTACAGATTTTGCATAAGGACAATGAGATGTTTTTGCATTCCAAAGACATTCTACACCTTTCTGTAATCAATGAAACACATATTGACTTTTTTGTTTGGCATGGTTTGGCTTGCATAATTATTGAACACACATTAGCAATAATATCTCAGGTTCCTTAGCATTTTGTAAAGTCATTTTCCATGTAGGGCTCCAATGTTTTGCTGGCATGTGGAATTAAGGATATCGTACAATTTTTGCACATCTGTTAAGTCTCTTTTTTTGCAACTGGTATGTAGGTTGACCTTCTAATCTGTTGGCCACTGTATCAGTCTCCAGATTCACTGGCATAACTTGAGTAGAACTTCTACTAGAGGTAGTCCTCGA